GCTTGTTGAATTAGTTGCTGAGGCTCTTCATGGCGAGGTGCCAATCTTATTGAACTCTGTGCGATGGGAATTCCGGGATCATGTCGCTGCCTGTGGGTTGGGCCTGTTGGTCTATTAGAGCAGTTGCTAAGGCAATTTATTGACCAAGGCGAGATCTACCGACCTCTGAGTCAAGACTTCATGTCTGTTTTCTAAGCTACTCAGGTTCAACAGTTAAGCTGTGAATCTGTCGAGTTAGGATTACTTTAACCTTGTTTCACACATAGGTTAAACTGTGCTACGTCTATGTTACAATTCCTTGATCGCTGACTGATAGTACCCGAATCACCCGTCCTTCCATTCTACTTAAAGTGTAACAGAGAAGATGGTGTCACAGTTATGACAGATACGCTGTCCGTGAGAACGAGGTGAAAAGCCACCGAACCATTTGTCCCGGAACGACAGTTTCCATATTTTTCTAAAGAGCAGCGTTAACTGCGTCATATTTCCAGCGAACCTTAAAGGGGAGGATCGCTATTACAAAACTTGCGTTTATAGTGCTCGTATTAACCGTCGAGATGCTTGCCCATAATCTCCTTCGCTTTACGACCCATTCGTACATCTGATATACGGACTCTGCGTGGTTAAAATTTTCTAAGAAAATCATATTTAACGGGAAACCGATCACGCGGTGACCCCCTTTGACGCGAAATATATTGGTCACGTGCTTGGTGGTCTCTCTAAGGAACCCTGAGGACTCTCAAAAGAAGAGACATTACTAGAGTTTTCATTGCTCATTGCTCACTGAACAGACATCAACTAGATATTAATTGGAAACGTAAACTGTAACCATTTCGAGTCGGGGAGAGAGTACTATGTAGATCCAAATTGATTGGTTTAACTCCTAAACAGAACCTAAGTTTGGAATTTTAAATTTCAGAATTTGTGCTTGGTTTGCGTGACGGTTGCGTGCTGCAACGCCGTGGTTCTAAGCGGTTACAACGGAGGTCACGGGATCAGTTACAGCGATTACGAGGGCCTTGAGGCGTACTCGGGTCTTTCCGACTATGGAGAACACGCGGTACTGCCAACGGTAGCGGTTCCGGTCCACTCGGTTTCCGCTTCTCCAGTGCACGTGGCTGCGACCCTCGATCACGGGGCGCATGGCTACGACCATCATGGTGACCACGACCATGATTACTACGTAAGTGTTCGTTCGAAAGATTGTGGAGGTCCTCTAGTAGAAATGGAGGCGCTATAGTTCGCTATGGTGGCGCTGTAGTTCGCTATGGTGGCGCTGTAGTTCGCTATGGTGGCGCTGTATGTCACTATGGTGGCGCTGTAGTTCGCTATGGTGGCGCTGTATGTCACTATGGTGGCGCTGTAGTCCGTATGGCGGCGCTGCACGTCTTCCTAAAATCACTAACCTTCCATCTTTGAATTTCCATGCTTTCTGGATCACTTTTTAACCTCAGTAATATTCCACGATATTTCTGCCCTTAACCAACATCGTTAGAATAAAATCGCAAGCAAGCTCAAGCAAATTGCTTAACAATTGGGCCTAATTTGCATCGGATATTGCGCGGGACGTCCGTCTAAAGCGCGAATAACGGGCGTGACTTAATTTCCAACCGCGGCACCTGTGCTTTAATTGAAATTCTCGACTGTGAAAAGCGACGCCCGGCATAAGAACACCTTCCGCGATGTATCTCATTGTCGCAGCCGTTTCCGCGACACTCGTCGTCGCTTTCACGCGACGTCTGCTCGTTACGACCGCCTTAATATCGGCGTCCGGGTGTTCGTTACGTGGATCGTTACGAAATTTTCACGTGGGACAAAACATCAATTAAACTACTTAAAACGTGCAATACGGTGTTTCGATCCATGAGAGTGAATGATTTATTATCCCTGGCCCGTTCACTCGTAACTCATTGCACCGGACTACGCAACAATAGAAGTTAAAACCATCCCCGTTTAATTTCGGATACTTTCGAATCCTTGCGGCCAGGCTTAGTATCGGTCTTAAATTTCGCTTGTATTTCAGGCTCACCCCAAGTACACCTTCAACTACGGCGTCCACGACCCCCACACGGGGGACGTGAAGACCCAGCACGAGGTTCGCGACGGAGACGTCGTCCACGGATCCTACAGCGTCAACGAACCCGACGGCAGCGTCAGGATCGTCGAGTACACCGCTGACGACCACAACGGCTTCAACGCTGTCGTGAAGAAGGTCGGTCCAGCCATTCACCCGAAACCCGTCCACGTTGCCAAGTACGTGTCACCAGCCTACTACAACAGTTATGACGAATACGAAAAGCACTACTAGACGCCTAGCTAGATCTCGAAGAGGGCAGAAACAGGATCGGTGACGATTTCGATCTCGTTAAACCGCGCCAATGATCGAACAGGGACATGCCACGTCTCCCAGAGGTCAGCACCGGGTATCCGAGACCGATACCACGATCCTGCTGACCCTGGACAGCTGTTCCTAAAGGCTAGTTTAGATGTCAATCATCCGAATGTCCGAGACCTCGAAGAAAAATTCGAAAACTTTTTTGCGAATTTTTTTCCGGGGTCCTGTTCGTCGATCGAGCGCCATATACAGGGTGGTTCGAGGGAACACTATTTTATAAATGCAGATGAGCAGAAATGTTTGGTTCTAGTTTCAAAAGTCAAGGTTGTCGAATTTTGAAGTACCCTGTATATCGGGTTTGATCGAGACGAAATCGGCGGGAACAGGTGTTCGTGATGACGAGTAATTGCGAGATATCGATAAAAAGTGACTGAAAAAGTGTCCTGCGTATAGATTCTCGTACGTGGAAACGACCTTCATCGCGTTTACGATTCCTCGAGACGATTAGGCAGTGAATATGTAAACGAGAATTTACTGTTCCTTAACTAGTAGAAAGCGGGGAGAAAAAACTGCTCGGGGTACCTGAAACTTGCTGAAAAGCCAGACGAGAACTTTCCATTGCGTTCCGTTGGGAAGTGGAAGATGGCGCGGAAATTAGGCGCCATTTCTTTTTTTTATGGACAGTCGAGATGAGAATGTGCGATTAGAAGGCTTACGGAAGGTTAAAAGCGTGTTAAATTAAAATCGTTGGACTGGGGAACGGAGAAACCCGAACAGAATCTGAATTTAGAAAAATACGGGATTTTTGGAGGTTAGAGTTATCAGATTAGAGCTTAGGATAGATCAGAGATCGAACATGGTAATGTTTTCTAGCTAAGGTTAGTAATATAAGTATCTTAAGTTGTTCGATTGTAACATTCTATTGGATTGAAACATTAAAAATTCGACAATTTTGCTAGTTGAGTTTGAAAGTTCAGCGCCGTCTGGCGGGCAAATCAGGAGCATAATCGTTTTACGCGAAGGGTGTACCGCGAGAGAACAACTCGAATCTATTATTGTCTTAACTGTAAAGTATTATTAAAAATTTTCTGTAAATAGAACCTAAGCTTATACTCAATAAAAGCGATTGTATAAAATTTTGTTCGTTGTTTAAGATTCATAAGTCATACTTTGAAAATATTGATGTACAGGCGATAACGGAGCCACTTGGGGTTATAGAGGGTTAATGAGGCGAAGGATTCCCCGCAGCTCTTAACTACAGCGGAAGGTTTTCGTTTTAGTAAACAGGCCAGCGAAACGGGAGATAGATCTGGATCGCGAAAGCGGGGTCGTCGAGATGAAATCTGCTCCCACGTCCGTTGCTATCGTAAACACTGTATCGTGCTCAGCATTTTTCCCTCAGATCTGATTTCGTTCACGTTAAAGCTATGCTTTTAGTTCGACTCTGCTAATTTTTGCAATTTTTCTGACAGCAACTCTTAATATCAAATTATTTAGTAATCTCGGGCAACGATAAATTAATTCTATTTTGTTATAATATTATAATATAGCACGCTGTACATACTTCTTGGCACAACAATAGAATCCCATCAGATAAAAAGAAAATCGTGCAAAAAGCGAGTTCCCTGTTTTCTGAACAATCAACGCCCGAGGTACTCGCACCTACTGTTTATTTAACTTTTAATTAACCGCGCGTTCGTCAGCGGAGCGCATTTAATTCACTCAACCGATCGCTATCTTAGCTCAACCCGTGATTTCGTTTGTAGTTATCTTATACGTGCGAATGTGTGCTCGCGTTCTTTTTTAATACGTTCCTGGTTCTAACTTTGTTCATTAACAGACACCATGTATTCTAATTGCAGGGCTTCTTACCAAGGAAGCGTAAAAAACTGGTGGTCTCGTTGCAATTAACCATTCTCTCGTTCCACAGTCGCTGTTTTCAGAGATGAGCAAACTTTAGCCGCATAGTTTGAATAACTTCGTTCAAATTATAGTAAATTTCAATTGTATCGTATTCACAATCTTAACTATCCAATAACGACTAATTTTCTAATCTTAAATTTCCAGTGTTGATAACCTCAACACTGGACTGTAACCTGGTTATTCTGAAACATCCGGTATGTAGGTAACGAAATCAGTTCCCTATGTTGACAGTTAAACATAGCGTGCCATAGGCTATCTGTTAACTGGAGCATTAGAAGCGAGATATATCGACGATATTCATAGTGTTCTGTTGGTAATAGCTCTGCTACTTCATTTCGACGCCATTGTATACGTTATAACAGATTTCCTTCCTAAGGATAACCGAAGGCGAGTTAGAACTAGAACGTGCCCCGAATGGGTTATATTGTTCCCTAGAAATTGTTCAATGACAAGTTCTCTCGCTGAAAGGTTTAATTAATTAAAGGACATAGATGTCCGCATTAAACGACTCGCTCTATATAATATCTCCTTGAGAATGCAATTGTTTTTGAAACTGTTTAACCACTACAGCGTTTCCTCGTTATAGGAACGTCTTTGTCCCTCGATAAAACGCTCTTGAGAGTCAGAAATCGACTCTAGGAATAAATTTGGTTACCTCCCTCGTTAAAACGTTTCAGGAGGACCTGAATCTGGGCGTTTTATCAAGGTTTAGTTGGATAAGGAGAAAGGAGCCGTGACTCACCCACGATTCCTTGAAGATCTTGTTGGCAATGATGCTGGTGCTCTCGTACATGTCCTTCCCGGGTCCAGACGCGAAGCACATCTCCTTCTTCCCGGAACAGGTGTATTGCGGCGAGCAACTCTTTCCTGAGAATTCGCATTTTGGACCACGAGTGTTCGGTGAAACGTCGCCCAGATTGGTGGAGGCGAAGGCTGCCACGAATGGACCCTGACGTAGAGCGAATTAGATGTCTAGTCATAATTGTTACTCCTGATCTCAACTAACGTGTCTACTAGCTCACCTTGCCGACCAGAGCATCTCCGTTCACGGTTTTCTCGAAAAGAACAGAGGCGTAGCCGACGTTATCACTGGACACTAGATGATTGGTGTTATTCATGCTAGTCGGGTGCACCGCGAACCAGTTAATGACACCCAACGGTTTGTCGTCTGCTCCAATGAATTGGATCTGCGTCAGCTTCTTATCTACGTCGTGTTTATATCTGAAAACAAGAGTACCAATTAAGCATTGAACGAGAGGATCGCGGCTCGACTCGTCAATATGTCGTTACTCACTTATCTCTTTCAGACTTTGGGTTATTGAGGTACGCAGAAGGACTTCTGTTGATATTGGCGCCGAGCACCTCTCCGTGAGCGATGAAGATTCGACCTGGCACTACGGCGTTGTGAGCACGTTCGATGCTCTGGAATATTCATCAGTTTCATTAATAAATTTTAATGGAAGTGCGATTAAAGCGTTGGCGAAATTCTTGCGATGAAAATGAGTACAAACACGATCCCTTTCTGATTAGTTTTAGTGCGTTAAAAACGCGATTTTGTAATTATGGAATGTTGAAAATGGGCTCGCCGAAGCACGTGAAATAAAAAGTGGTCCGAATTGGGTCGTGTTTCGATTCGTTTTAATCGGGAAGGTCTCGCCAATTCGTCGATAGTATTTTTATAAAGATATAAGGTAATAAAAAATTTAGTTTGTAATAATACGAAAAGATTATACAACGATCACCTTTGTTATTCCTTCGACCAGAACATCGAACGTTTCCCTAACGAATCCAAATATTGTGAGGTCGAACAACATGTCCAACATGTAGCCGCCTGGAGTGGAATGCGAGTGCGTGGCGCTTATCATCACGTTCCTGTCCGTGTACGTATTTCCAAACTGTTTCTCTAATTTCTTCAGCACCTGTGACGACATCGAATCCGATTAACACGAGAAAAATTTTCTGTGAAATCGCGGAAATACGAAAATAAATAACGTAAATGCCAGTGGACTTCAGACTCGACAAATTAGCATTTTATGTTCGCCCGGTGAGAGATTCTAGATGTAACTATTTATTACTTATTTAATTGTATTCGTTTACGAAATTATAAACGATGATCGAACGATCACTGAATAAATTAAATATCTATAACATCGATCTTTTTCATGTTACGAATAATTATTCAATTTCTTCCGAAGCTTTAGTTATTATAAATGGAAGAATGAAAGATGAAGATGGAAAAAGAAACGAGACTAGAAAATCACCGCCTGTCGAACGTCGTTTCCTATCATGGCGCTGTCCACGCTGACGAAGACGAACCTCTCATTCCCATCGTCGATGACGAAGGCGCGGGAGAATGTTCGAAGATGGAGTCCTGATCCCTTCTGATCGATTTTCGCATAGCCCATCTGGAAAACAAATAATCTCTTCCAGTCGTCGCCCGTCTTACGGAAGAAAAGACACGAATCTTCCGCTCACTGCCCTGCCGTTGTTTACTCTACTCGATAAAAATACTTTTTTGTTATCCGCTCACTGCCCTGTCGTTGTTTACTCTACTCGATAAAAATACTTTTTTTTGTTATTCCGTTCGATAGATACATGTACATTCGTTCGATCTGGTAGAAATTATTTTAAATTCTCCTCTCGAGATAAACATTGAAATTTATAAAATTAATTTAGGTGGAACTCTAGTCATTTAATTATTTCAATTAGAGTTTGCATGTAAATACTTTCGACCACCTGCCGTCCCATTATCAGATTAAGCACGATAACGTCAAGACGGAACGCGAGCTATTAACATTATTTAACCTGATAAGCATCGCATTCAGATTAGATAAGCACTGTTCATTGTTTAGAGTTACACTTGTAATATAAAATCAAGAAAATCGTATCAGCATTGGGGTACGAACAAAATTGATTTCAGCAGTGGGTCCAGTGGTGTCAGCCCTGCCCACGCCAATGCTGTAAGACGCATGCGCAAAAGGCATCGCGATCTGCAGGAGCCAAAGCGAGATCAATCCCAGGATCTGCGAACGTCTGATGGCTGATGCCTCCATTCAGCTTTCTGGGCCCTGCGTGTCGGTCCGATCGCGCTGAAATCAAAGAATTAACTGTGTGTCATATGTTTTCGTTTCTCACGGTTAGTCGCGTTGTTGCCAATCGGCGAGATAACCGATCGTTCCGGGAAGGTGAATTTGTTTTACTTTTATCCCCACCCCCTCGTGACATCATTTGTACAGAATTTTTACCGGAGATTAATTACGAACGAATGAAAAATAATAGATACAAATTCAAAATTAATTCACCGGTAATGTCAACAGGGTCGTTTTTCACTGCTGCTTTCGCGACTACTTCTGTGGTTATTAACGAGGGAATTGGAAGGAATGAAAGCACTTGAACGCGTGTTATCATTTTGATCGAGCAAACGCCGCCACTATTTATTTTTTCGTCTATAACCTTATCGAAACATATTTCGTTCGTATGACTGTTAATGCACTTACTCCTGAGAAAACACACAATGTACAGGGTGGTTAATATGTTCGAATTATGCCGACATTTTTACGAAAAAATTAGAATAAAGTATTCGATACAATAATTGAACAAATATCGAGTAAAGAATATTACGCAGAGTCATTTTTTGAAGAAATTTTCGAGGTTAATTTCTTTATCCATATTGAAAGAATGAAAACAGTCTACGAAATCGAGGGTGGATATCCAATTTGTTGCGTAAGCAGCTTTCAGCGAAATCCGTTTGTTTAAGTATTAAACTTGTATCAAGTTTATATATTATAAGAAAACATATTTTTATCGTTTGGGCTCGCCTCGAGCGGTTCTCGGTGTACTCGTCGTCGTCGCAAAAAATCGATAAAGATTGAAGTTCCTTAATACGCGTGTAACTTATTAGCTGTGTTTTATCAGCGTCGACTGTTTTCAGAACACAAGGTTCTGAAGGTTCTGAATACAAAAACGGGAATCAAACAAAACACACGAAAGTTACAGGATAAGTATTGCGAGATAAACGAAAGATGAAATGACCAAAAGCTGAAAACTTTTTGGAAAAATCGCATAAAGATACTCCGCTGATACTATAAACGTCAATTAATGTCCGACCGGCGCTAAAAGCATACTCTTGTTATGTAATCGCAGCTTTCGATCGTCAAGATAAACGAAACACAACCTCGACGTGACTCGACGAAGTTTCCTCGGAGGATGAAACTTTCCCGAGGCTTTTGGAAATCCCGATACTAGTCAAAGGTTATAAAGACACTTTCGACGAGCATTAAGGCTATTTGGAATGTGCTGGAGCAAGGAAGCCTATTAAGCAAAGCCACGCTCTCACCACTTTTCCTGCCACAACGATAAGAGAGTTGTGAAAACGTAAAGCCTCGAAATATCAAATAAATCACCTGGGACCTCCACGCTACCAACTTCTCAATAATCTCTGCTTGGGTAAATTCGAGAGTATAATTATGAAGAATCTCGAGGATATTTAAATGAACACAGAATTTAAAATACGTGTGTTTGTGATTCCCCTATAACTCCTGCTACATTTGTCTAATCTAGTTGAAATTTTGATAAATTGCTCCTCATATTCTAACAGAAAGTATAGTTTATAACAATTAAACGAAGTTTCGTCTGGATTGAACAAAAATAACAGGAGTTACAGAGGAATCACAAACACAGAATTTAAAATATGTGTGTTTGTGATTCCCCCATAACTCCTGCTACATTTGCTCGATCGAGTTGAAATTTTGACTAGTTGTTCCTCATATTTGAACGAAAAGTATAGTTTATAACAAGTAAACAAAGATTCACCTAGATTGAACAAAAATAGCAGATAGAGAAGTCACGAACACACATGTTTTGCACCTCTTCCTCTTTCATCCACAGTTGCTTACTCTAAATAGATAGGCTAATTGCTATCTACTATTTCGATGCTATAATACCAGCGTAGGATTGTGGAAGGCGACGAATCGTAACGCTTTCCTCGATAACTGTATTAGAAGGTGGCGCGTACCACAAAAGGAATGGTTTAAATCGCATGACGTTTGTCTGAAATAATTTTGCGTAAGCAGACCGTAACGTGATAGGATTACATGGCTAGGCGATCCGCGATACAGCCCATATTAGCGTTGCGAACCGGCCTGCTCGCGTGACACCACCTGCAGCTCGCCTAATGCCGTCATTTGTCGGTTGCAGGAATTTCATTGTTCGAGACAATGACGCCCGTTTCGCGGGAACTGTGTTCTAGATGGTTGGTGGCAGGCACTTTGCAGCCTGTATTTTAGCACCGATTGAAAAATGGACGGTGAGATATTGATTCTATAGGGTGTTCCTGAAATAGATGATATCGAGACCTCAAAAGGTCGTGATGTCATGCGTGTTGATAAAATATTTTTGGATTACTCTACCACGCTAACAAATTACGAGTGCAAGAGGATTTGTGTCAAGGTCTCCTCGTTTTCGAGAGAAAAAAATGACTGATAAATGTACAAAGAAATTAACGAGAACTTGGCTAGATTGTGGCTAAGACGCAAGTTACCGGGGTGTATGCTTTTTTTTAATCCGAACTCTGAACTCGTTTTATTATTATTGCATAAGAAAATATCACAAAAATACGTAAAAGATATATATTTGACACGATTAAAGGCACATAACGATACCAAAGGTCCACAAGTGACTCGAGTAATCTACCCCTAAACCAACCTACGTTTAGCCACTTGTTGCACGTCACGTGAATCCTCAGTTTCCAACATGGCCGCTTTGCACACATTTTTCGCCAAACAAACTAACCTTAATTTAAAGTTAGATCTGAGTTAGACACGATCTTCGAGTAGTTTGTTTGGTTAAGTAACGTCTGAAGTACCGAAGTGACCCAGAAATTATTTATTCACTCGTTTATTTATTATTCATGAGGTTAGGTACGGACGCAGAGACACGTGATGTATGAGTGTACGAGCTAGGTATCGTTAAAGCGGAAAAGAATGCACCGAAGAAGCTGCACTCACCAATCAAATCGTCTTTGCCTCTCGGAGTCGGTCACTTTCTAGCGAGTCGTATTATTAGTGGTGATTAAGGTTAATTACGTGTCGCGATTATCCAGAAACTGCTTCCTCCGGTCTGATTCATCGTTCCGACTTAACTCTATCGCTTTTTAGCCGCATCCGCCGGCTGCATCCGAGATACACCGTACAAACAAATCAATCTTGGCGACATCGCGGTTTATACAGGGTGTCTCGATATAAATACCACTCGAAACGACACTCGAACATTTTTTCCCGAACTCGAGTAGATACAAGTGATATTTTCTATTGTGATTTTCGAAGGTTATCTCAAGGACAACTTGAATGAAGTCGAACGGGTGCAACACGTTATTCAACAGATAATTTTGCGAACTGATTGCAGTTTTACGTAACCGCGGACTTTTTGAAGATTGCAGTCAATAAGTGTCGAACTATAATTTAATATTTACCATTAATTAATCCAACCTTTCCCACTGTCAGAAGCCGAAATTCGAATTGCACTGTTCTAAGTTTCGATTGAGATATCCTCTTTGGCAGGAATTGCGAACGGACGTCGAGATTGGTCGGTGAGACACTGAAGATCGAGACGCGTGCGAGGTGGATGCTGGAGAATCGAGTGTGTTCGTCGATTGCGTAGCGAGTGAACGCTTTCACTTTTCAGCGAGACGGATTTTTCGAATAATATTATGTTTACTTTTTGCCAGACGATCTTCGAGAACATCGACCACCTGTTGTGCGATATATAATGCTTTCGAATTAATGACGAGAAGAAATCGAAGAAATCGAACCCCAACAATGAAAAAAGAATAAAATAATAAAAATCGCTAATAGTAACCTAGTTGCTCTCGAATTCAAGATACCTAGAGAAATTGTTTTCTTAAAATGAAAATGAAGAAGGAATAAATTAATAAAAGCCCCTAATAATAATCTAGCAAGACCTACGTGTAATTAAAAATAATCTATACTTTAAATTCTCAAAAATGATATCCGTCAGTTAAGCAGATATTATTTTAGGCATGGGTAACGAGTGCAGAACGGTTTGTGAATAGTGCGTAAAATAAACGTAACTCTCTGTGGACACAGGTAAGTTTATATGGTCGTAAAATCGTTCGTTCTTATCTCCCTACGCCGGCGCCGTATCCACGCGATTATTAAAGCAACACGTGTTTGGATACATGTTTTCACAGAGGTGGCCACGGCGTGACTCACGGAGAACGATCTCGTTTCAATAGCGACGAACGTAACAAAGCAGAGGGCGTTTAATGTTATCACCGGCCGAAGACGGTGTAAACAAAACAGCAGACGGCACGACGTTACGATCGGATCAGCGAGACAAATACTACAAATGCACGTTTCGACAATGAAATTTATCAAGAAGATTTTTTAAATAATCCATTAACGCTTCATCAAGTTGGAATTTTAAGAAACAAAATTGATTGGGTTTGTTCGTTACAAAATCAGGATGAACGTGGTGACGGAAGTACACGCAGCTGATGTAACGTGTAATTAGACTCTAGATTGTACGCATTTATGTGATGTATGAATATAAAAATAAAGTGGAAATTGTTTGCAAAATATGTATGCACTTGCTTTGAATAGATTATCAATGTTATAACTAGACGGCGGATCTTTGTGCAAAATAAAATCTTCGCGAACGTGTCTACAAAAATTGAACCTGAATAGGATTTTGTTTCATTCTGCAAATATTATAACATCACCTTTATTTTCAACCTGTTTTTATATTCTTGCGTATTATTTACATTTTGTAGTTTCTTGGACATTCAAATTTCCTATAAATGCATAAAGATCCGCAGTCTAATTATAACATTAATTTATGTATGCATTTATGAGATGTATGAATATAAAAATAAAGTGGAAATTGTTTGCAAAATATGTATGCACTTGCTTTGAATAGATTATCAATATTATTACATTAATTTATTAAATATCTACATACATTGTAGGCCATGAATGCGTACAATCTACAGTCTAGTGAAAACAATCTAAATTATTTAAAACGGAAGGCGTCGTGCCACCAACAGTAGCTAATAACCCACTCGATTAATTAATACGCAACTATAAATTAAATTAGAGAAACGTTTCCACGATAGATACACGAACAACAAGAAGCGAACAAAACAAAACAAAATAGAATAAAAGATAATAGATAGAAGATAACCGATTCGCATTACGCTCGACCAAGAGAACTTAAAGTGGTACTCACTCGTCGCAATTTTTAACTCATGACCGGCAGAATTCAGAATCCCAGAACGCTGGAGGAACGAGGAGCCCCGATAAATCGACGAATGAGTCACGAATCGATCGAGAACAGCGAGACGAGGCACGATAATCAACCAGCAGCACGGTCCGCCAGGCCGTCACCACGAAGACTCAATTCGAAGCATCAAATACGTTCAGACTAACGTGGCCTGGTGTCGGGGGGAAGGGGAAACGGAAACGATCCTACGGCTATTCTCATGGGCACGGTGTCTCGCTCTGTTGTGTCGTGACACGCTCTGCTTGTTTCCTTTTTTTTTTTCTACTGGCGTGCTCGTAATTCGTGTACGGTCAAACTCGTGGCGTGTTCGTATGGTTACTTATCGGATCATCGGGTAACCAAGGCGTCTGGAGATTGGTGTTGAAGCATCTGCCACAATAGGAAGCTTTAACCTCTTCAATGTATGTACATTGACCCACAGTGGTGGACATTGTGGTGATCGTGGGAATGATTCTTCCTAATTTAAAAGAATGTTTTTAAATAATCCCATTCATCTCTGGTGATGAATAATATCAATATATGCAAGTGGAATGATTAATGTACGAATTGATATTTTGTTTAGAATAAAAGTGATCGAAAACTTTAGACCATTAGTCAAATTTTTAACAAACCTCTTTTAAAATAAAATGGCTAGACACACGTACTCCCACCGAAACATGTGAATTGTATACAGTTTGTAAACACGATTCCCGTTGTTGACGGTTGTATGAAGGTCAAACGATACGGTTCAGGACCGATTCGTCATTATTCAACTGTAGCTCGAACACATTCCTAGGAATGATCCCTAATCAACCACAAACACAAACGTGCCACCACGTCTTTGACCCACCGCCATCGCCACTTGACGTTCACAAATCAACGCTAGCGGTCCTCGAAGCCCTCGTTACTATTCCAAAGGAAGCCAATTTGAATATGCAAAGGATACTAAACGATGCTTAAATCGATGCTCACCGAGGTCATTAGGGGTTCTCGAGAAGATTCGAGCACCTACTTCCTTCTCAGCTCCTTTTTCAACATTAAGACCGGTTCTTATATCGCGGCCACTTTCCTCGAGAAACTTTCAACACTTTCTTTCTACAGTTCATCTCTCGTTGCTGTCTTGCGGGCATTCGTACGATCGTCACGTAACGGCGATTATTGTTGCAGAATCCCACTGCTAAACTATGAAAACGAAGAATTGGAATGAGACTCTGAATGCGTCACGCGTGGGGACGTAGGTCATCGGAGGACTCATCCCAGGTCCGTTGGCGTGGTAGGAGCCAACGAGAGGACACCTACACTCCCGGGTGGGTCGAACAGACTTCTATTGTTAGCTACGATGACGCTGACATTACCAGTCAAGGACGTCAGAGGTCGTTCGACGTTTTCTGAACTAGTTACAGCATCGAGGGCACCGGAATTCTCGATAAAGCAAACAGAGCCCTATTGATGGTGGTGGTCTAGCGAGAAATGCGTATCAGAGTTCATCAGAGCATCCTGGGTTTGTTGAAGCAATATTAGGGGTTCATAGAATCCTTGGTAGATTGATCAGGAGAATTGCTGATGGCGATGCTGATACTGATCTCACTTCGATAGGACGTCACAGGCCATCGCGAGGCCTATCCCAGATCCATTGCGGTGGTAAGGGCATTGGAATACCCTAGAATCCTCGACAATAGTAGTGACGTCTTATACAATCCGCAGGATATACAACAGATTCCCTTCTATTCGCAGGAGTGATGTTAATATCACTAGAACAGGACGTCACAAGTCATACCCAGGTGTATTGTAGAGGTCTCAGCATTGGAATACCCTAGAATCCTCGACAATAGTAGTGATGTCTTATAGAGACCTCAGGATATGCAACAGATTCCCTCCTACTCGTAGGAGTGACGTTGATACCACTATGACAGAACATCACAAGTCATCCCCAGATCTATTGCAGAGGTTACAGCATCAACATCTTCCAGAATCCAACAGGTGTCTTCGTAATCATATTAATCACTATCACACCCCGCTGTAAGTCATCACTAGCTCCATGGTAAATCCATTGTACTACCCAAAGAATCCTAGAATCCTCACTAGATCACTCAGACCTCAACAGTGTCAGTTTCACGAGAATTCTTTGATTCCTACATCGAAAATGGCTCGCGGTATAGCAAGCGTTGCTAGCTCGTTAGCCTTGACAGTTTCCTGTTTCTGGGTCACGTTTGATTAGCATAGCACAATCACCATCCGAACATCGAGACCGTGCGATCAGGAACGCCTCGAACTAAGGCGATTTCGCGGATCTTCGGGATCGTTTCTTGGCTCGAGGAAAGAAATGTGGGATTCGCGATCGATGGTCTAGGGGAACATGGCCAAGCTAACGTTAGAACACCGACTGTCACTTTCATCGATTGCCGGCCGTGCTGGCCGAACAGTTGCAAGAGAAAGTAAAAGAGTGTTGCGCAATGATTTGCGTTACAGCGGCTGAAATAATTTCTACGTAATAGGACTGGCTACTTGCGTCGCGACGATTGTTTATTTGCACGTTGAGACTGGTGACATTGAACGATGATTAAGTAGCACAATGGGTGAATCGATTATCTAGGTAACAATTTGTATGATAACGGGGTAGGTTGGTATAGTAGGGACGATGGCATTTTGAGAAATGGGAGGGTGAGAATTTCCTCTGTTCGCAGCGATCCGGTAGTTCCATTGGGACTGGAATTGCTGATTAAATTTGATCCAATTAGTACTCGCACGAATAATTATTTCGTCACACGAAACATTTTTTTCCCAATTAAAAACGGTCGTATCGACACCGGTCATCGGTTCAGATAAAAGGATCATAATTATCCCATTAGGCGCGAACTGAGCGCCAATGTTGAGTGAAGTAAGACTCGTTAATGTTTAACGAGCGGAAGAAGAGCGAGTACTCGCGTACTCGCGCAGATAAGACTCTACTCGACATTTTCTTTTATCGCACGCAAGTACTCATTACTCTCGGATGATAAAAGTGAACGACCCATGAAACGTGATATTTATTTGCGAAATGGGGAATGAAGAGAAAACACTGCTTGGGAACATAAATATCACTGGAAACCAAGGGAATCCTCGAAGAAAAATGTAGATGCTATTAATCGATAGGATAATTACAAATTTCTAAATACCGTTGCAGGAATTAATTGTCGACGAGCAGAAATTCTTTTCATCGAGCATGTGCCCATTTTGCACATTCTTGGCGTACGTGTACGCAATAAGGCGAAAAGGCGACGACAGGATATCCTATTACGCTTGAAATGTGGGGAGAACAACAGGTTGTATCTACGCGTCGCAACTTTTCGCCGAAAAATGACCGCAGCGTTTTAATTCCGGAAGAAACGAAAGATTTCACAACAAAAGTGAAACCAATTCAAAACCCCACCTTCGACGCGGGGAATAAAAGTTTTCCACTTTTAAATCGTCCCACTGTATTTATCATGGCACGCATTATTTTCTCTTTATAATTCAATAAGTGCGAACATGATTAGAATAAATGAATGCTAGTTATTACTTTATTTGGAAATATGTAGATTTAACTGGTGTTATATTACTGGCGCCACTTAAATGCAGAGATGATTAGAATAAATGATTACTGGTGCTAGTTATCATTCCATTTAGAAATATGCAAATTCAACCGGAGCTACAATCACTGGCGCCACTTTACCGGCACTGTTCTACTGGCGCCACTTAACTGACGCTGTAAGCATGCGATGTAAAATTCCCCCTTAATTTTCATTGCTTAAAAATACCAAGGAATTGACTCCCTTCTTTTTTCAACTTGTTTTTTCTTCTCCAACAAAAAGTATAAAATGCTTTCCTCAACTATGATTCGCATAAATATGTAAGTGACACGGTATCGGTGCGTCCAAAGGGTCATTCACACGTACGCCAATGACGAAATCGTGCTGGCCCGATTTTTGTTTGCGAATATTGCTGACACATCCGATGCAAACTATGGTTCTCCCTATCGAATCCGTGGTTATTTCACGTCGACATCGCGAAGCGCACGGACCATTGACGCGAACGACGTTTCCAACGACGGATATCCACGGTCCATCGAATGGGAACGATCCACTACAGAAGGATCCTTTAAAACCTTGCAAAACGTGAGTATCGTGTCTTTCCGCGTTATTTCGCGGAATCACTGTGCCGTAAAGGCAATTGGGATTCGCAGATCGCTGCACCCATGGAGAACTTGCATTTCCTGACATTTCGATAATACGCATTTCACGCTCAAATTGTTTAACACATCTGCCGGAATTTTAATGTTCGATTCCGTAGTGCTACCTCTTAGTTTTCAACGGTGAAACTTTTTCAAGGGAAAAATAATTTTTTGTATTTTCATTTTGTATTTTTTGTCGTTTCAGTTTTTCCACGAGTTCATCATGGACACGGCGTGCAGTATTTCGTTTCAGAAACTGGAAAATGAACCTATAATCGATGGCCAGTATAGTAGAAATCGAGTAACGTCGAAAATAGGTACTGAAGCGATTATTTAAAGTTACATGTTATTTTTCGAATTTTTCGAATTTTCAAAGCGACTCTTGTCTCGATGATCGAGAGGATTTCTCCGTGTTCCAAATCGTGTACAGTGCACCGCTATTCACGTCCACTGGATTAATATTTCAGATAATCCTACGCCGGACACGAAATGCGGCAACAAGGTGGGCGTTCGTAATCCCTGGAATTTCTTCAAGCATCACAGATTCATTTTTCTGGTCGAAGTCCTGGCCGCGATATTGATCCTCTTCCTCGCTGCGTCCATGCTGTATCTAACCATCGTGCCTGGTTTGTGAACACTCAATTCGATTTGCTATTTTTCTGCAAATAGCCAATGTCTACATTTCATTTAAACGTTGTTTACCTTGCGCTTAATAATTGCACGACGAAATGTATCAACCCTGTTCTAAAACCTAATCTCAAACCACCTCAAATCACTTCAAATCACCTCAAATCACCTCAAACAATTTCAAACTCTAAGGTGGTTTCTACCGAGTGGCACAAGCGGACCAACTGGATCAATCCCAACAATCCTCCATTGACAACTCCCTGCAAGAAAGCCAGGACCAGGATATGGATCGTGAAACCATGGACAAGCTCATCAGCACCATCCAACTCCTGAGCAATAGACCTGAATGGGGATCGTTGCTATACCAAGTGGATCAGAATCGTCAGAAACGATACGCCGGGACGTCTGCCTGCACACAGAACAGGGAACGTTGCAAGGCCGTGATCGATTCCATGAAGGCCATCGCCAACCTCGTTGACGACAGCATGCCTCATCTGCAGGCCCTGTTGAACAGCTTCATGGCCAACCCCGAGGAGTCCAAGTCGGAATTCATGGAGCTGGTGAACTGTCTGCAGTGCAAAAACGACTCGATAACCTTCATCGACCACTCCGGCCCGGGGAGCATCATAAACAATAATCGCATCATCTACGAGAACCCGGATCACCTTCAGATAGGGAACAATGTCGACGTAGTCGCCAATCTGCTGGACGAGGACAGGCCAAGCGACGGGATTTATTTCAATGAAATTCCCTCTGACCAGTTCGCACCGCCTCCAGATGCGGAGATAGTTACCATGGGCACATTCGATCGGCAGGAGGACAGCAAGACCACAAAGGGATCAGAAACGACGGAACGAGAGTCAGCCACAACGGAAACACGGATGATTAATGCAACAGCGAGTGCGTCGGCGACGTCCAAGGCGCAGGAAGCGGCGAACCAGACGAATAGAATCGACGATATGGAGCAGAAAAAGGTTGCCGCGAACGTGCCGCCCGGGTCAGACAGAGACAACGTGACGGAAATCGGAAACGACGCGGCGCAACCTTCCTACCAAGGCCAGGCTGGACGGAACGGAACGAAGGAGGAATCCCAAAATGGTAGATGCATTATTTATCTCCCTCTGAACGTATTCAAAAGGCGAAAGTGTGCTCGTTTGCTTTCTGTTGAATCTCTTACACCTAGAATCCTCAATTGGTACCAATTCAAACTGACAATGTCATCGAATCCCATTTGCTTCCAGATTCGAAGAATCCATCCAGGATGTCCAGTCGCGAGAACCTGAAGAGCAGGATCGTCTCGAACGACCGTTTCCAGACCAAGGGTAACCCGGACTTCTCTCAGGGCGTCATACCCACGGCGGAAACGATGAAGTCCACTCAGCAGCTGCAGCTAACCCCAACGATGTCCTGGATGCCTCACCAGGTCTGCTTCTACGGACCAGCGGCGAACGGTGCCGCGGCGAAGCAATCTGCACCTGGTCAAGTCCTCTATCCGTCAGCTCCAGGGTCCCCTTACCCCATGTCCATGCCTCAGCCGCGAGGAGGGTTCCAGAATCCCACCAGCCAGGTGCCCAATTTCATGCAGGTCCACGCACAGACGGTGCAATTCATGCAACCCTACCCAAACACTGGACTATCCGCTGGCCAAAGAGGCGGCCCGACTGCACCTGCCACGCAGAATCTTCCTATGTTCCCAGGACACCAGACGTCGGCCACTGCTGACACGAGCCAATCCGCAAAACCGCCTTACTACTGCACTTACATTCCTGTGCCGACGTTCCAGTTCCCTGCCATCCCTGGAGTGTCCGAGTATCAGAGGTCCGGTGCTTTAGCTGAGCAGGGAACTCTGGCACATGGTAGGTACAGTAGATAGTAGATTGAGGAGGCATCAAGAGTATTTGGGATTTTTTGGTAGCAAATTCAATTAAATACTCGAAGCTTTGCTTCATGAGTGGGTTTTGACAGCCTTCGAATCCTCTGTTGTTAAATCTCTGGCACCTAGAATTCTCTGTTGCTGAATTCCTAGTATCTAGAATCCTCTGTTGCTGAATTTCTAGAACCTACAATCCTCCAGTTACTAGTTCCAAGTTTTATATGTAATTTGTCTTCATTCGTGTCACGTCAGCGAGCTATGGGGCATGCCCTCCGAACGCGATTCGCTGCCGTGATGGAGGAGGATGCATCTTGAGATCTCAGTGGTGCGACGGTCACGTAAATTGTGGCGATGCAAGCGACGAGATCACGTGCTCTTGCAGGGATCGAATATCTGAAGAGAGGCTTTGCGACGGTTACTTCGATTGTCCACATGGGGAAGATGAACTGGGCTGCCTGGGTAAAGCTGTTGTTTATGTATCATTTGCAAGATGGCGCTAGTTACCGCGATTCCATTCCTACTATGTTCTACATTATCGACTGACTAGGGGACAGACTATAGGATTCCTCGATTAAAAGATAAAATCAATCTAAATAATGAAAAGCAATAACGACTTCTTTACACCTGCACAGACTCTGCGTACGGTACACTAAAATATTTTATACAGAATGCGTACAGTTACCTTCAGTGCATGGCGTTTACAAATGGTTCACGCGAGATGGTGCCAGGTACTTGGATTCCATTTTCTATCGAGCGCAATTTTATCGACAGTACGATAGACGTACGATAGGACTATGAGAGAGCGCTGCTTGAAGCACTTTGATTTCAGATCTTCGTTTCTAAACTCAATAGAGCTTTTGCAATTTTATTTATACATTGTCCAGGTTGCCCAAAGACATCCTTCAGTTGCAACGACGTGCAACAGCGATCCCCTGACGGGAACTGCGTCCCACTTTCTCAAAGATGCGACGGCGTTAAGCAGTGTGCAAATGGAAAAGACGAAATGGATTGTAACATACTCACGCCCACGTATATCGAGGGGAAAAATGTGAGTAAATTTTGTATAGCGAAAACTGGCAATATCATATATCATGAATTATAATTATGTTCATCAGGTGTTTACGATTGGTTACACCGAAGGATACCTTCACAAGAATTACATGGGCCAATGGTACCCCGTCAGTGAGGCTGCCGTGTCCTGGGTCAGGGATGCCTGCATCTCTGAGATTGGCCAGGAAATGGAGTACGTTCTGGACTCCCTAGACCTCTACCTAGTCTCCTAGACCTATAACTTCTAAAAAATTATTGCAGGAGGAAGCCAGAGGTGGAGATTCACTCCATACCAAGCAACACCTATCAAGGCCCATCTATATCAGCAGTGGGTGACGAAGTCAAATTAACTCCGTCGAGTACAAACACTACAGTCTACGTTCGATGTCCACCACTTGTCTGCGGTACCAGGGTTCTTACGCCAAGGGACCAATTACAGCCTCAGCTTCCTGAGGCCGATGACGGATCAATTATGCAAAGGTTCTTCAGAGGCAGCCTCGAAACCGAGAAAAGGGAGAACAACACTGCCGATCAAGACGACATCGTTGGCTCGCAAATGCGCGTGGTTGGAGGAAGGGCGAGCCATCCAAAAGCTTGGCCATTCTTGGTGGCCATTTACAAAGACGGTAGCTTCTATTGCGGTGGCGTTATCCTGAACGAAATGTGGGTCCTGACTGCTGCACACTGCCTTAATATGTAAGTATTTAGGAGTTTCGTTGAACCACAGCTGTCATTCAATATAAACAGTGTTTCTTAAATTAATTCTTTTCGAAACATAGGTACATGGGCCACTACTTCGAGGTCGAAGCAGGACTCCTCCGACGCTTATCCTTCTCCCCAATGGCGCAGTCCAGGAAAGCCAGGTACACGATAGTCCATCCTCGATACAACAGCGAGGACATGAGAAACGACATTGGTATGATCATGCTGGACGAACCTCTGCGCTTCAATCGATGGGTACGGCCCGTTTGCTTGCCAGAGGCGGACATCTTGGGAGCAATGTGGAGATTCAAGCCGGAGCCTGGGTCCATTTGCGTCGCGATCGGATGGGGCGCCACCAAGGAGCACGGACTGGATAGTAAGCCAGTCTCTGAGCGCAGGTTTAAATTCACTATGCTCATTATTGCGAATTTCCACAGGTGACCATTTGAGGGAAGTGGAGGTCCCCATACTGAAGAGCTGCAAGTACGCGGTTGATCGCAACGACGCCACCATTTGCGCTGGGTACCCTCAGGGAGGTCGTGACGCCTGCCAAGGGGACAGTGGCGGGCCCCTGATGTGCAAGTACGTAGGTTAAACATACTTGGAGGTAGGAAGGTCCTACTGGTTGGAGCTGGAAGCCCACAGCAGTTCATTTAGACCTAACTGTTGAGTGAAGGTTGCCTGTTCCTAGGTGCCCCAGGTATCCTAGGTCCGTTGAGTATCAGCAGAGCTATAATTGAGTCGTTTTGTGTATTTTTGACAGAAATCCGTACGCGAAATCGCACTGGTACGTGGCAGGCATAGTCAGTCACGGGGAAGGCTGTGGTCGGCCAAATGAGCCGGGCACTTATACAAAAGTCAGCTACCACCTCGAGTGGATTCGAGAAGTTTCCAGTAAGTCGCCTTACTTTATTCTCGAGTCATTTAGAGAATACGTAGTAAAGAGTCTTTCCTATATTTCAGGCGGTCAAAGCGTGCCTCCCCTGAGACGAACACCTTTGGAGAAGTGTCCAGGGTTCAGCTGCGAAGGTGGACTAGGTAGATGTCTACCCTTACAATCACGATGCAACAGAATCGTGGAATGCTTGGACGGGGAAGACGAGCTCTACTGTCCTGGAAATCTGGACTACGTTCTATACAGACAATCAGAGGATCCCAATTCCTTGCCTTCCGAACCTGACTTAGTGGCGCCTGAGGTAGAAGACACTACCGCGTTCGAAGTGTCTTCAAGCGAGAGTAAGCCTTCACGAGTTTGTAAAATCATCATTAATTTAAATTCTCAAGACACAGCTCGAGCTCCGAGTGATTTTTGATTCAGGCATCGAGCTTCGTGACGACGACGACTCAACTTCAACCACGTATAATCCAGAGGACAGCAGGACGCCAGCGTTTCCTACGACGTTCGCGTGCGGAAGGTACGGAATTGAATGAATCCTCGATGAGTTTTCTTGTAATTTCGAAATCGACAGGTTGCTCCAGAGTATCCCAATCCAGAAACGGTGCGACAGAGTGGCGGACTGCGAGGACAGTACTGACGAGATCAATTGCACCTGCAAGGAGTACCTGACGAATCTGAAACCGACAGCCATATGCGACGGTTACGTGGACTGCGACGACAAAACGGACGAGAAAGGTTGCAGTAAGTGATCCGTTTGATACACATTTCAAGGAGATGTCCTTACCTTATATAAGGGTGCTTATCCTCGTTCACTTTACAGAGATTTGCTCCGATGACGAGTTCTTCTGCAGAACTAGCAGGACTTGCATTCCATTGGCCAAGAAATGCGATGGACAGTTCGACTGTGAGCACAGCGAGGATGAACTGGATTGCTGTGAGTCACCTTTCAATTTTAAGTCTGAGAAGATAACTGAGAATATCCCAGCATGCTCTTATCCTTGCAGTCACGCTGTCCAATGGTCGATACGTGTACCTGGACGCGGACGAGCGGCCATTTTTGAATATGCAGGGGATTCTTACTCGATACGTCAATGGCAAATGGCGGACCACCTGTCATCGTCCCAGGATCCATCAGAATCGATCCACGGTCACGCTCATCGGTCAAAACATGTGCGAGTACTTCGGCTTTGCGTGAGTATTCCTAATGGAAGGTCTACCAGTTTCGTAAACCATGAGTCTAGGTGATTAAATAATAAAATTGAAATGCCACTCGGTCTGCAGTCACTTAAACTCCAGATTCCACTGACAGTGGCCGATTTAGGGGATCTCATGCCCACTGTCTCGGATCTTATGATCAAGCATTATAAAACGTTATTCCAAAGGGTGTTGCTAAGTTCCTCTGCCTTTTCCGTAATAAAAAAAATGATCAGAGACTGTTCTTTGCGCAAAGGAACCTGAAATCATCGGAGTCAGTCACGGTGAATGATTCCAAGCTGGAAACGATACCCTGGGAGGAGACGTACGTCCCGTTCCGGGAGACTTCATCGATAGCCTCCGCGAACGACAAGGATGAAACTTGTCCCGGGCTTTACATTCGCTGCAGACCGGTTCTGGGCAGTAGCGTGTTCACGCACCTGACAGTCGACACTGAAACGGGAAGCCGTAACTATCAGTGGCCCTGGCTGGCCGCCATCTTCGTCGACGGAGGTTATCGTTGCTCGGCGACGCTGCTGGACAGGGACTGGTTGCTGTCTCCAGCGACGTGCGTCGAAAACGTTAGGCAAGTGGAACTGTTATCATTGGACTCCTCTTCTCGCGGAGAATATAACGAAAGGGGAGTAGGTACGGGCTTTGAATTGTGGTTAGAGTGTCTTTTCCTGTAGCCTACGGGTCGTGAGGATTCTATGGATGTATGTTCGTAAGGGGCACGTGACTACTTCTCGTTTTAATTATTAATTGAACCTGAGCTGCAAGACTCACTGAATTGTTATTATCAATTGTTGTACTCATGTTGTACTCATCATGAGAGTACTGGAATATCCAGAAGTCCTAGAAGTCTCAACTCTCATTGAAGTTGATCCATCTATCTATCTATTCCAACTTGATTTGTCGAGGACCATCGACTAAGACGTTTAAACTGTTTCCAGGTTGGACGTGAATTACACCACAGCGCTTCTGGGTTACGGACCACAGTTCCGCTACGTGGACGGTCCCCATCAGCAGGTGTCCATCATCGACGAGATACAGCTTGTGAACAGATCAGAGTCCGTCCTGCTGCACCTGAACCATCATGCGAACTTCACTCGTCACGTGCGTCCACTGTTTCCCGAAAGGACGTGAGTAGAAGACTCCAGTCTTGACCAAGTGACTTTGTCGAGTCCTTGCAGATAATTATTTATCACGTGCGTCGCAGGGTACACCTGCCAGGGTTGAGCGACACTTGCGTGGCGGTTGGAACGGACGAGAACTATGAGACGTCGTCCGTCTTATTGAAGACGGTTCTGCAGGACTGCCAGAGTTGCCATCGGTGCTTCGTTAACACATCCATCTCCGAGTGTCTGGTGAGTGATTTTGATTGTTAAGTAGCGCTGGAATGAATAATTAGCGAGGGACTAAGTTATCGAGGTTCTTGAGATCAGTTCTTGAGATTACTGATTATAATTGATTCCCAGACTAACCAGACATCGGAATGGAGCGGAATGGTCTTCTGTCGCGGGAAAAAGGGATGGTACCCTGCGGCCACTTTCCAGGACAAGAATGGTCCCTGCAGTTTCCACGACACGCAGTCGTTGCTGGGCATGGATCACATAAATCCTTATCTGTTGAAAGCTCTAGGTAAGGCCATGGTTAATTTAATTTAATCAACTTTCCAGTCTTCATGTTTCACGAAAATCATCGATCCAGATGGCACGAGGTTGCTGCTCGAAGCAAGTTGCGATGGTTTCCGGTGCGACATTGGCGAATGCATTCCCCACGATCGCGTTTGCGACGGTGTTCCCGATTGCCGAGACCAGGCGGATGAGGATCCGAAACACTGCCGAGAAGTCCGTGAAAATTGCGAGAACAGCGTGGACGGTTGCAGTGAGCATCCTTATTTATTTATCGTATATGATTTGCAGCAAAAGAAGCATTTTGTTTAAAAATATTCTGCGAGTATCTGGTTTGGTACATTTTAAGTGCGTACGGACTTGTAGGTTGCACGAAGTCGGAGCTGCGCTGTCACAATGGCCGATGCGTGGACAAAGGTGCATTCTGCGATGGAAGGAATGACTGCTATGACGATTCCGACGAACCCACTGTGTGCACGTGCGCGGAATACCTGAAGCTGACTGCTCCAGGGCGACTGTGCGACGGTGTACGACACTGTCTGGACAAAACGGACGAATCGCCCGAGATGTGCCCTTGCAGTGGTAGCGGATTTAAGTGCGCGACGTAAGAGACACCCAAATTTATCAAGATTAGCTTCTAGCAAAGCTCACATTCGCTGAGTAACTGATACTCTAAAATATAGGCAACCATTAGTTCTGTTAGATGAAAGACTTATTCGTTAAATTAAGGTTTTAATTATTGCTACTATTCGTTTGTTGCAGGACCAGTGGCAACGACACTTGCATTCCTCGAGACTTTATTTGCGATGGGGAAATGGACTGTATGGATGGCGAGGACGAGGCAACGTGTCGAATGATAAGACAATTTTCTAACGACACGTAAGTACTCTCTCTAGCTATATTTTATAATGCAATTGACGTCCAAGTTGGAGTGAATTATATTTTTAATTTTATATTTATAATTTCCAATTGCAGTGATGGATCTGGCGAGGTGATTCGACGAAGTTATGGAGTGTGGCACTCGGAGTGCTTTCCAAATCCAATCTCAGAGGAAGAAGCATCCAATCTGTGCACAACTATTGGATACACGTCAGGAAATATCGATAACGACACCACGGTTGCAGAGGAGCCTATGATCCCGATACGAGATCGTTTTTACGTAGTCAAGATGAACGACTGGCTCTGGATGGCCCTAAGAAACGATAAACCACTAGTAACTTTAGTCAAGCCCGACGAAAATTGTCATCGTGCCTTTGTCAGTTGCGTTTAGCTAATTTTTATAGAAACTTCTGCCATGGAGGTAGATCAATCGATTTATAAGATATGATAATTTATTTTATATTTATTAGTGGGAGACTGATACAGATGAAATTATTTATTGCCATGTAACAAAATATTCAAATAAAGGTGTATAATATTTATGTGCAAGACAGATTTCGTTATATCATACCCTGAGAGAAGTTTCCAATCCTGTTCAAAAATTATTCCATACTCTCGACAATCCTCATGGTATCCTTTCTCTACATACCCCTCATCTCAAGCCTGATGCCTCAATCTCCCAGTTGACCGTTCGCAATTTGTGTTAGCACTGTGGAAAAAGCCTCCATGTTCCGTTTCCTTAGGATTCCAATCGTGGGGATTAGTCACTCGAAGAATGTGAATGGACAAGCGTTTTCCGTCGCTCTGTCCGAAGGCAGTCCGCCAGGAGGAGCAGGGCGCAGCCGTTTACCTTCAACGGCTGCGACCCCATTTGTAACATTCCTTTTGCCCCCTCTCCGCCGCCTCCTCAACTCCACAGGCTCGAAAGTGTCCCGGATCGATTCAGTACTTTTGCTTCCACGCAACGTCGTGTGGAGTCACATACCTCTCTTCTTTCTCGTGTCTCCTCGAAGACCTCAGGTGACACGGTTGCGTAACCCAGAGCGGATTTTAATATCGAATGACTCTCGCCGTTTGCTCAGAACTTCGCTAGTCTGAGGAGACACATTGGTGCAGGACTCTTTGGCTAAGAGAAGCTCGGGTTGACAATAGGATTGCTGGATCCACGGAAGGGTTGAGGAGAATAGAGGAGGGCTCTAGTAGGGGTTTGAAAAAAATCTAGGTTGCGGGGACTTTAAGACCTTAGTTTTTGGTATTAAGGTTCCTCCCTTGAGTGACCCAAAGTGGTCAAACGCATCAACAACAAAGTTCTTGAGCTCTCTCCATTGTACTTTCCTTCTGAAACGAGGATTCCTGACGTCAACTCAACGGAACTCGAGCCAGAGCTTCAAGATCATGACCCTAGGTATTAAAACCCCACATTTGAATGACCCAAAGTGGCCAAACGCACCAACAATAAAGTTCTTGAACTCTCCCCAATGTACTTTCCTTCTGGAACGAGGATTCCTGACGTTAACTCAACGAAACTCGAACTAGAATTTTAAGATCTTGGCCCCGGGTGTTAAGACCCCACACTTGAGTGACCCAAAGTGGCCAAACGCATCAACAAGAAATTCCTTGAGCTCTCCCCATTGTATTTTCCATCTGCAACAAAGATTCCTGACGTTAACTCGATGGAATACCTCCAGCCAGACATCACATCTAATTTCAGATGCCCGGAGTCTTCGTTGGAACCTGTAGCGTCGAGGATTTCGAGCTTGCAGATGCGCCATTCAGAGTGCAGTGCTCTCAAATCGCATTACATGCTTACTGAGCATCGATCGCGTGAAAAAAGATGGGGGAGCCATGGAACGCCACGAGTCCACGATCCTCGGGCGCCTAACGTAACCGCAAAGATGGCCACCAGCCATGCAACAACGATCGGTACTGAAACCTTTCTTCCGATGGTTCGTGCAACGCGCGCCGATTATGTAATCAACGCGGCGTACTATGAGTACGTGTAATTTCGTTCCTGGGAAGTACCGTTGACTCTGCTCGCTTCACCGCCCGGGGTACTTGGTTGCCTTCTGCGGCGTCCCGTGATACCGCGAGCGTGCACGTTCTTCCTGGAGAAGATACCACGACTACGAGACAGAAATAACGCTGGAAAATGTCCCAAGTCCAAGCTTTGCAGTCGTTGGGGCAGAGTTAGTGCGATTCGAATTGGATTGGGATATGCCTAGATCTGTCTGCTCCAGGGCTTCTGTGTCTTCTACTTAAGGGTAACATGATCGGTCTCTCCAAGTATGAATCCCACTGACTAATTCTAGCTTCAGTGCCACAGTGTACTTGCTCTGTTGTGCTTGAATTCAAAAGCATTCAGCAGGACCACCTGGATCCACCATTGCAACTAAATACCAGCCCAACTATTCCAAATTCAGCTTTCCTTCCAATTTTCTATTATTATCCAACCGTTTCTTAACAAACACGAATTACGCCTGCGAGTTCCGCGCGCTGGACACGCGCAATTTCGTTTCCCGTGGAAAACGAGCGCCAGTCGTTAAAGGCTCAGCCGTCTCGCTTCACGCATAGAGGCGTTATTAGCATGCAACGTTTCATTTTCTCGCCACCTCACAGCAATCATCTGTGTTCCGTGCTTCGAGTCATCGCGGAGGTAGTTTCACTTACTTCTCCGATATCCTGTGAGCGGTTGTCAAGGTGTTGCCCTCCTGGACAGTCAAAAGAAGAAAAGGGGTTCTCATAGCACGGAAAGTTCGACGAATGTGGTCGACTTCCAGATGCAAGCATTCACGGATGATTGATCGTATCCTGCACGCACGTGTTTCTTTTATAGAAATTTCTGCTTTCACTTAGGTTCGATACCAAGGGTATCACTTGACTGGCTCGGACGCAGAGGAATATGTCAAGTTTCAACTTTCTGTTTCGACGCTTCAATGGTTTGTGTGAAGTTTAATTGATGGCAAGAATGCAATAGGAAGAAATTTTGTCCAGAAGGAAGTGAAATACGATACATTTTTTCATTTAAAACATAATTTCCTGAGGAAATTGTGCAGCAAGCCCCTTGGCGCCACTGTGGCGCTACTGTGGCTCCTCACGCGGACTATTTTTGAATTTCAATAGAACATTCAGTATACTCGCTTGGAAAATACTTAAACTGCATTAAAAAAACGCGCCAATTCTCGTTCTGTTTTGGCTTCGCTGTTAGATTTAATTCCATGTGGAATCCCATGCAAATTTTTAAGGTTAGGTTACCAAACAGCCTCGTTCGAAGGTCCTCGAATTCCATTTCTAAGCTTCAGAACAGCTTTCGAAGCCTGTGGCTCGCAAAACCGAGGTTCGCGAAGCTGCTTAGGCGAAAGTGTGCCTTACCTACATTTATCGGCGACGCGAAATGGCTCGAGATGCGTGAAGGCTCCGCGCATCGGCAAGGAGCAGTCGATACCGTTACACTTGGCAGCTTCCTGCCCATCGGACTACGGCCTCCATCGTGCCCCCTCTTCGCCTCTCCCCCTCCCGACATATTTATAGTGGCTTTTCGATGACAATACCGTCATTGTCACCTACTCGCGGCGCGCGTGTTCCCGCGTATACCGTAATCTCTCCTGTCTCTTGATCACGAATGCCCGTTGCACGCTCGCGCGGAATTCTCGGCATGCCTAGCTTCACAGGGAAAATGTAATTCACAGTAAAATGGACTGCAGGGGTGAAGAACAAGTGGCAGGGACTTCTGCTTCGAGAGACTTCCTTTTAGGAACTAGCTAGAGCTAGCAAATCAGAAAATTAGGTCAGAAAGCAATCGAGTATTATAAATAGACAGAATAATCTTGCACTATGATTAAATGGTCAATATTCTTGAAAAGTGATCGGACACTTGGTGACTGACGCTCCAGGATGGGAAATCCGGTTAGGTTCCAGGAAGCTAGACCAAGTCGAGTCTAAACTATTCACAGGTACTCGATGCTACCGATTATCATAGAAATGGTTGCTCAGGATTTCTGTGGTGTCTACCTAAGGCTAATATTATACCTTTCGCGAGCTGGTGACAGGTAATGAACTTCACTGTTTATTGCCAGCGACAGCGAGAGTATGGAAGACCAAACTGGCTCGCCTTCGTGTCGATTCCTTTTTCCTTGGACTTACTGGAACAAAGTCCTCTTGGTCGTGTTGTCGTTTCCAGGGATGTTTGATGTATTGAAAGTACAGTTACGGAGTGAACTAGCCTACAGGGCGGGGCTCTTGAAGGAGGTCATCCGAATTCTAGGGTATCATTTAATTCCATATCATTTTACGTCCAGTGCAATTGAATGACCCATGGTTTGGGGTCATTTAAGATCACTGAAAGTTAGTTCCCTTATTCTCATATTTTTGCACAGACGCACGACGTTTCTCCTTGAAAAGAAACACCTTCTTTCTGAACGTTTGATGTCTTATTTTCGAGTCAATGAATATGAAAGGTGTCAAAAACGCGACGCTATCCATTCATCAGGTGAAAATATGGTAATCGTTGCGCCAGTGACACTACAAAAGCGTAGAAATCTTGCCACCACGTTGACAGAATACGTTACTATCCAATGTCTGGAAGTTATTAAATGCAGACGGTTGGTAACGTACATCAATCATTCTAAATTCGTCTCGCAAGTTTAGTTTTCCCTCGAGGCAACCTTCCAACATTTCAGTTCTAATCAATTTGCCACGATTTACGTAGTGTCGCACGTTTCGTGAAAAGTAAAAACTTCGTATTCCAGCACCTGACGGGTGTTAGCTTTCAAATTACGCCGATTAACCCCTTGTCTCTGAGTTGAAAGCTGACTGACGTCATCTGAACACTTCCGGCATTCCTGCATAGCGAACTCTCATAAAGATTTCTTCTGCTAGTTGCCAATCGCGTTGGATGAACGCAAGCGATATTAATAGCCAGAAAATTGACCGATTGGATTCAGTAAATATATCGGTAGCTAGCTGTAACGTTGTGGGCGTGGCTTCGACGTCGGAGGGCAGTTTATAAATATGTTTGTATATTTAATACCGAGTTGATGAAGACATTTCGTTTTGTATTTAGTCGATTTCCATCGTTCTGATGTGTTTGGGTATGCCCACTTAGCGTTTGATACGCTCACCTAGCGGGTAGCCACGCCTAGTTACTATTCGACCACGCCTACTATTGTTTCACGGGCCGCCACATACTCGGTACGTGATTAAGCCTATTCTGCGTACGATTACATTTTCTTAGATTCATTTACACCTACTTACTATTCAACCATGCCTCCTCTAACTTTGACCACGCCTCCACTCTCCAAGAGGCGTGGCAATGAGGAAGCACTCCTTCAAGTAAAAGATCACTCAACGTACGACTACTTTTTCTCAGTCTTAATTACGTCTACTTCCTATTCAGTCATACCTACTCTAACTTTGGCCACGCCTCCACTCCCCAGGAGGCGTGGCAACTAGGAACCTCTCCCCAAATTTAAAAATCTTTCAAATAACATCACAAACAATTCCCAGTGTCTCTGTGACACGTAAACAGACCTGCACACAGGGAATATCGGTGAATCGAAAAAGTTCCTCGGTTTAACCAATGGGAAACAATTCCTATGCATCTGATTTCATCCGCCCGGCATTCCACGGCGAAACGAGGCGCGCATGTGCTCGGGGAATAAAGAGGTCGTCGTAAATGCCCCGACGTTAATTTGCCAGGAGTTTTGTAGGACACGAACGCAAGGTGAGACGACGGAAGAGACGAGTCGGAGGAGCGGCACTCTCGCACACAGTCGCGTATCAGCGTAGTTACACGTTACAGTACGACACGCACACCTGCTCGCCAGCCGGACAACACTTCGAACGGTTTCTCGCGCGGGTCGACGTCCTGCCAAAACTGCCTAATCGTGTCGCTTGGCAAGGCCTAACGCGAGTCACGATTCGCGATACGTCAACGTCGTGACTTGATTTTCTCTTTGACGAAAGTTAAGTAAACATTCTTTTTTTGCTGGATGGTAGGTTACTTTACAGCGGATCTATCGTTCAAGATGATCGGTGGAATTGCAGGTTGGACAATGGACGCGTAGTTAGAGGTTTGCTTAGGGGTTTCGATGGTCCAGTGGTTCTCAATGTTTTTCTGATCACAGTGTTCTAAGAGCCTAGGTGAGTTTTTTGGATCGATATAAACATAGTGTCATTCAAGTGCCAATGGTTCCAAGCTAGGATGAAGTTTAGAATTTGACGATATAAAGGGCGACCACGAAGTCACGCTTTATCTTCGATCAGAAGATGTTGGACAGGATGTGGTTTGTAAAGGGATCGCGATGGTCAAGGGGACCACAGTGGCATTTCCGCAAAACGGTGTTCAGGCAGTAAGCAGTGAACTACTTACGAGAGGTTAAACAGAAACTGTAATAACGTGTTCACTGGTTCTTCCAGATTTCACGAGTGGCAACGCTGCTGATGGCCATTCCAAGATAATTTCATAAACCATTTTTCAGGACACTGTGAAACGAGACAGAATGGTTGGCGTTCGTTCGACGATCGGAATTCATCGTAAACGCGAAATGGAATTCATCGACAGGTCAACGTCCCCAAAAATTACTGATTGTAACTCGTTACGTCTTCTAGCCGCGCCTAATACAATGCCAGCCGTAGCAATGAATTATTAATGCTCCTACAATAAAACAAAATTACTAGGAAGTCGAGCTTGTTGCAAATAAATAAGCGAAAGAAAGAATGTGGAATACATTTACCACGTTCTAATATTTTTATAAACTACTCAATCAGGATACGATTTATTCAGACACGTTAGGTAATCGCTGAATGCTGCCAAGATAAATAATCAAGGAGCAAGGCTAATCGGTCAGGGTACCATCCGTAGCGAAACGTCGAATGGTTTAGAAAGTGTAACGAGATTTTTCTTCAATTGCTGGCAAATAGAAATCACAGAGAAGATAAACAGCTTTTACTAATTATCATGAACACTCCGTGCTACCGAGTCACTTTTTTCATGAAAAGAAAAGTACTCCAACTGAGAACAAAATATTCAAAATTAAATTTAAAGAAATAAAAGAAAATGATCGTACAGATACTCACGATTAGTTAGGTCAACGATCTTCCAAAAATGCTCGACCATAACCTTGTACGAGCGTCAATCGTCGTACCTAACGTTCGTGGGCTTCATTTGAATACTGGTCACGTTGTCTACTGCGATTTGTTTAAAACTACGTCGAGCACTGCTATTCCTGGCACAAAATATTTGCATTAGGTTGAAAGTTAAGTAAGAAAGGTCTGTCGTTTCTTTAGATAATTCCTAATTATCTAAGCAGGAATTGCTTCCGCCTCTATTGTAGTAAATTCTTGATTAACTGAGAGATACAAAGATAAACGAATACCTTGCTAATGGTCACCACTCAGCCATCTTTCTATTTACTCGGTACAGGATGTCTCCGTCGTGACGTCCAAGCCTGAAAGAAAGGAAGACAGGCGTGAGTCATGGAATTTTATTTAATTCTCGTCGAAGGTGACGTAATGAACGAATCAAAACAAAATTGACTATTTAATGATCAAGTACTGTTAATTTATTTAAATAGTATGGACTGTAAAATCATCGGGATCTTGATGCCTCGTAGAAATCACTCTAGTCATTGGAAATGATTTATGGATCGGTATCGTTCTCCGACCGTTGGCAGAAAATTGCAGCTGCGCAATCGATAGGACGAAGGAAAGTCGGGAAAGTGCGTAAGAGTCTTTGGTGGCCGAAGGAAAGTAGCCATGCAAAACTGGTGCTCTCGTTGATTCAATCGAGGCATATTCCCATGGCAAAATTGAAACTTCGAGATTCGATAATATCCGAAAGAAAATGTCGAAAGTTATTCGACAAAGTATTCCTTCGGACATCGCGTGGACAGCTTGATCATTACAGTTTCCAAGAACATTTTCTAATGACTCCATGGATGGTGTTAAGAAAGTTCCGCGGAGTTGGCTATTAAAAGCCATCGCAGCCTTGAAAAGCAGTAATCCAACGCTGAATCATATTTAATAATTATTCCGCAGGCATCCTGTGGAATCATTTGTTTGGAATCATCAGAATTTATACTTCAGCTTTGATTTACAATTGAAAAATTCTAAGAGAAAGGAAAAGGAGTGTCTCAAAATTCTTCGAATAAAATTCGAATCATTGTCAGATAATTTTGCGACAAAAAGACCGCGCGCAAAGTGCATTCCGTTACTGGCTTATCGGGTCTGTTGCACTCGGAGGCGTTCAACCCGGCAACTCGTTGCACGCACGCGAGCACCGACGAATCTCAAGCGTCCTGGCTGTTTATAAATAAAACGGAATCGACGTCCTGGCGTCGCTCGACAAGCCGATAACTACCTTCGTGGGCAGTGCATCGAATTAGGGTCACAGTTGAGCAATACTCCCTCTGTGATCGGTTCATGAATACTTCAGAATTAGAATCTAATTGTGAGAATTTACTAATTTAATTATGCTAAGTAAGACACGTGACATGTTTTTCATTTGTTTGATATTTTTTCCATCTAATACATCGAATGTAATAACTTTCCTCTATACTTTGAGCAAATTGCAACATTTAATGCAAAGGCATGTCTGTAGTTGACAACTTCGGATTAATCATCGACTTTGATGAATGGGAGTAATCAGGCTCGCTTTCCATAGAGAAGGGGAGCACTCCTTGTTAAAAGAGAGGCTATTCCAGCTTCTGGCGAGACGTTTAGCCTAGACCCGCGATCTCTCCACGGAGATAATTAACTGCCGTCCAACAGAATGCAAAATCCATCGTTCGTAATTCATCCACGCGTGAAAGTCGATGCACGTGAGCTTGCGTCGATTATTCGTCGTCGAAGGAGAAGAATACGACTCCGAGCCCGTTATACAATTAATCGTGGACTGCGTATAGCACCTATACGTATCTCGGGATCACGGTGTTTCGAGCAACGGCCGCGATGCTATCCAGTTAGGGCAGAAATTAATCGGCCGTGTTAAAGTTGTGCTCCCCCTCTTTGCTATTTATGACGTGTTCCCGCGAGAGTACGTGCAACGATGCGCTGGTGGAATCGAGCATCATCTACGGCGAAACTATATCGCTTCCGTGGAATCACGCTTATTCCAACGGCGACTTTCATTCAAGTCCCGTCACGGGAAAAAAAGAAATCTCGCGTCGAACGTGTGCGTCAAACGCAGCGTCCAACTCGCTGGGCGACCTTTCTTGCGCGCGCGTCGAAGTCTCCGCTGAACGCGGACCAATACGACTCGGAGATCGTGTTGCGTTCTGAAGAAGCGGGGAGATAGTTAGTTAGCGATCGTTTGAATTAGTTCGTTGAAATTAGTATTCGTTTTCATTATCGAGGATTCATGGAAGATAGTTTATGAAATAATTCCACTTTTCGGTGGAGGATGACCGACGATGTAATAGTTAGTATTAGGTTGGCAAACCCACAAATCCTTAAACCCTCAAACCCTCAAACCCTCAAACCCTCAAATTCTCAAATCCTCAAATCCTCAAACTCTCAAACCCTCAAATAGTTTTTATAAACAACTAACACTGAAAGTACTCATTTTGAGCGAACAGGTCCACCACTAGATACCAAAGTAAAAGTAGTAGCCCGTTTTAGGACCACTTCCTCTAATCCTCGTGTTCGAAATTCCTCGTTACTTCCAAGTCGAAATAAAATCAAAGTCGAAAATCGTAACTCGAAAGGGGCCCCACCTCGACAAAAAATACTTCCAATCGGGAATTCCTCCTCCCCCGTTTCCCCGTGCCACAGAAGGTCGTTACAGCGCTGATTCGAAATATTCAAACAGGTCGGAGACGCAACCCTTCTCGGGCTCCTCGCGATAAACAAACAAGGACTCAGTCTCGCTCGTGCGTCTCCGGCGTTCGCCGCGAGTCCTCCCGAACGGTCTCCACCTTTCCTGCGCCTACGTTCGTGTCCGACTTCCTTTTCTCTCTCTCTTCGGGCCGCCTCGCCGCGAAGGAGGCTCTCACCTCCAGCCAGCTCGCCGTTCACCTGGAAAGAGAGAGAACCGGGTCTTCAGTCTCGAACCGGTGGGCCGGAGGGAAGGAGCTCCGTGACCCTGAATCCATTTTCTGTCCGTCCGTTCGTCGTTTTCTTCTTTGTTTCGTCCTGCTGCCGGATCTCGCGTCGTCTCCTCGCCGCGCTTCCTGTAACGCGCGATTTTCCGTGTCGCACCGCGAGCTTGGTTCGATCGGTTTTGTGCAGTGAATCCTTCCACGGGGACGATCACAGTGGTGTGTACGTACATGTACCTGGGACGGAGAGGATTGCACCGTAGAACGTAGGAGCAACAAACGTAAGTTGACCGAAAATAAAAATGGAGCGCTTCCAAGGCACGGGCACTCCGAAGCTCTGCGAACACCTGTTTCGTGATGTCTCGCGAGAATACCGTCTTCGTGGCCTCCATGCGGGAATGTTGTGGTCAGTCTCAGCTAGCGCTATAGTCGGACGCCCATGGGAGTTGGCAGCACGGGATGCGTTGGGTGCTAGGACGTACGAGGAAAAGAAGAAATATTTCTCGGCTCTCTGGTGTTGTATGACTGCGTTAAGCACTTGGGAAATGATTTACTTGGTATCATACCTGAACGCCTCCTGATACTGCAAAAGCAGTAAGACTAGGGCGCTGAGTAAAAAAGATGGAAGCATTCTGAATGGTCAATAGGTTCCAAATGTCCTTTTATGGAAATAAGGGTATAACCTGCATAGGGGTGGTTGAATGTATCATCAAGACGTTTACTTCCCTGGAAAGTTGATTTTCTGTTAGAATTTATTAACGACCCGTTCATTGCGCCAATCGATTAACTCCATAAAATAAAAAGTCGAGAAATGCGATGAAATGATGTACAAATAATAATAATGCGTTGTGATAATGTTTGTCGTTTGCAAACACGAAAAATTATGACTACACGAAGTGCTTTAAATTTAAGATTTTTGAAAAAGTGGAGTCAATGGATTTGGAACCACCGGTGCCAAGTCTAAATGTAAGGGTACCCTGGCCATTTATTTTCGCGTAATTTTCGAAACAAATAAATTTCCCATCGGTATGGAAGCTGTTTCTCGCGTTGACCAGCAGTTCTCATGATTTTCATAGGCCCCATTACCGGTTCACGTGCCCACGGAACGCCGTGGGCGCCTAGGGTTTCGTTGCTCGAGGAACGAGCTTTCTCTTCCACAAACTCCGCGCCGCCGTTCTTACGCGGTTCTCTATAGCGAATTTTACGGGTGTGCGATTACGCTCCGAACGAGCAGCTCGTTCGAAAGGGAAAGTATAATTTATCTCCTTCCAAGAAAATCTCCCGAGAGATCCTTGGTAGGTCCTGCGAGACAGGGAAGGGGTTGCGAAGAAAATTGCCGAGGAAAATTAAGTTTACGAGATTACAACGCAACGAGATTGCCATTTCTAAGCAGTGGTTCGCGTTGCACGCATCAACGTGCGCGACAGCCCACCGAGCATAACGAAAATCGCGCGAGTTCCGCGCTGTAAGAGACCGAAGGGAACGGAGTACCGTTCAAGAACGCGAGCGCGAACGTTTCCGACTGAGGAAAAAGTAAAATATCCCGTCTTTTCTCTCGTTATTTCCCTTCGCAATTATTCCGGGCGATAAGCAATTCAGAGGAATTTTCATTGTAAGCTCTAACGGTCGGAGAATACGAAAGTACGCTCGTACAGGTGTTTAACGTTATTCTAGAAGCTGCTGTAAAAAATATCCGAAGAGTATTTTACGTATATTGGACATTCCTTGTTTGTTATCAACTCCTCGTCACACAAAGATTTGTAATTGTAATTGTGTCGTTAAACGGATCACTTAACAAATGGTCACGTTTCACCTTGGAGGCTTGTTTGTAAAATAATAATCACTGCTGACGTAGCGAGGTACGATACAGTTCGAGTTCTGTTCGATTGATAACACTGTGCAGTTATTACAAATTCCAATTTAAGCGTAAAAGCATCCAATTAAAAATTATTAAAGGGATCGAGGGTGCAGTTAAAATGGCGTCGCGACAACAGAACCTTAAATTTCCCTTAAAAAAGCGCGGATCGTGACTTCTCGCAACAGATTCACGCGAATCGAGGTGTACCTTGGTTAGAGTACCGTTAGATTCTGACGAGTCCGAACGAGTCCTAAGAAATTTCGATCGCGTAACAAATTTCGACGATCGGCGTCCTGGAGGCAATTCGCTCCATTCGTTCCGCTGTTCAACGGCTGCCACTTCACGCTCCCGATCTCGAATTGACTCACTTACATTCGTGCAACTCTGTCTTCGATCAAAAATGGCAAACTTAAACTTCCTGTATCTTTTAAACTATTTCAAATTTGATATAGGGATGACTTAAACTTCCCCTAATTTTACACGAAATATGCTAAAATCACTTGCGCTGACTGCGAATTATCGATTTGGTATGGAATCGCTGTAGTCTCCCCAAACAGTATGGGTCATCGGCGTAAGGCACGCTTTCTATGTAACCTCTGGCCTGCACCAACAATTACAACCGGTCGTTAAAGATTTTTCAGAGCACAGAATGCGATATGGTCGTTCCACGAGACTACTCGATTATGGCCGCACCCTGCGCGCTATTGGCCCGCTATTCGGACTATCTATCAGATCTAACCACTCCAGCATCATAAATTCGAGAGAAAATTACACGCGAAATGTAACCGTTACATGCACCTATATAAAACTTCAACGTATCCTCTCCTGCACAACGTATCCTCTCGAGAATTTTGAAAATTTCACGTTTGAAATTAACAGGCGGCCATAATCGACATAGACAGACTGTTAGGATAAAAAAGCTGCCTGCTCGTTGAAGGCTGAAATTCGAAAGTCCACGGTTACGAAATGTTTGGGCGAGATAAAATTGCAATGCGGTCGGACAGCATCGCGACGCAATCAAGACACACCCTGTATAATATACACGGCATTCGCCTAGGCGCTCCTCTTGCGTTTCTGTGTCTCGTTGTCCTTTGCGCCGGGCACCACGCAGCTTTCTTTGGCGCGATCCACGTGTCTGCTGCACCAGTCGTGGCTTTATCGGTCGACGAACCACGAGAAATGTGAAACTCGATGGCCCGCGGATAGCGCGACGTTGTAAAAGTACTGGGAAACGCCGAGTCGATGCTGTTGAGCGCAACGGATCACCGATCGCTGGATAATCTTGTGGTTGTTAGCTCAAAACTTGTACAATGTGGTGTTTAAGCGACTAGAGTCTATAGGAATGGGTTCCTCGACGCGATAATGGCTCAGTTGTATTGGTTCGCTCGAGTCATATTGGTCCGCCGTGCAATAGAATTCCGATCGTCAAATACTCTAGTGGTTGGTAGCTCAAAACTTGTACAATGTGATTTCTAGGCGATTAGAGTCTAGAGAACTGGCTTCCTCGACGCGATAATCCTCCAGTCATATTAGTTCGCTCCAG